CAGCGCAGAGCAAGTTTGTTAGGTTCGTATCTCGTTCTCCACATCCCTACAGAAACAGAAGGTAAAAAATGTAGTATAAATACTGATGAAAACAGGAATAGTATTTTCTGAAGCATTTAGTTTCACTGTCCTTAAAGATCTATCAATGATGTATTGTGCAAGATATTACAACTTTTTATTACAATCTTCCACATATGACAAAAGTGCAAAACAATAAGAAAAAGAGAAAAATGTCTTTGACCCAACATTACTGTCTTAAAAGTAATTTTCATTTTGCAAGTAATTCTTTTTCCAAACATGTCCTCTTTTTGTAAACTTGGAAAATGATTATACATAAAACAATAGTAAACTATATAAACCAAAGACACTTGACGTGTGTTAGAGGTTTATCAATCACAATACACTCCCACAATCATTATTCTTATCGCAGTGTTGTGCTTACTAGACCATGCGTGTATCGTATTCATGAGTGCTCTAGAGATCATGCCAAGATATCATGGAAGCAGCCTCATTCGACACTTATATAGGTGATTTCATCACGTATATGCTGTAAATTATACACCACTAATAAGAGATAAGAAAATCATTAAAAACTTTCTTTAAGCTAAAATATTTTCCCCACAAATAACAATGTTTAATCTCTCATAATACAATCTGTAGCACTTTCAAGGAATGGACATTTGATAAAAATCAATTTAATGCTATCAAAACTAACAAGTGATTTATTTTTATCCATGTGAATCTTATTCATGATATCTGCAATAAAAAAAGTTGAATTACTATCACTTATTTATTTGATGACTTAAATCTAATTTCCCTTCTAGGTTTAACATATTTATTTAGAAACATACGAATAATTTAGATACACAATTTAAGAATTCAGACCAAAACATTTAATTTGATTATTCATCTAACAATTCAAACCCGTAATAATTCAATTATTCGTCCTTCATAAAACCTAAACAGCCATTATGTATATAGGTCAAATTGCATAAAGCATGTTATAGGTATCAAAATAATTGTAGACTAACATTATTTCTAGTGTAAAATATCACTGAAACAATTTTGAGATGTTACAGTTCAATTAAAATAGTGCGAGTACAAATTTTCAACGTTATACCAGTATACTTTAATTACATACAAAAGAAAAATTACTTCTAAAAACTAATTCAGCTTCTTTAATTTTAAAACTTCAGACAAAATGAAAGGGCTCCCGTCGTTCCAACTTCAAAAGAATAGTGCTTCGATGATTTCAGGTGGAAAATAAATAAAATGCTAATTAGGGTAATTCGGTTGAATGAAAATGAAGTGAAAAAAAATTGAGATAATTAACAGGAATGAAGGGAGATAAAAGCATTGCGTACAAATTCAAGAACCGAAATAAAACAAAGAATGAAGAACAATTTCAGCCTTTATTCTGACAGCATAATAAAAATAACACCTCAACGATTTGGCTCTTCGTAAACCGATAGAAAAACAAGAGTTTAACTAAACAATTTTTTTCAAAAAAATTCAAAAATCCGACGTTTAACTGAACAGCCCTTTTTAACTTCATATATGGTCTCCCAGCAGACACAACCACAAAGAACCATTGTCATTCATAACATCATTCATGATACTTTTGGGTTTGAGGGGCGCTTTAATGAAGAATATATGAAAATAAATTACATGTCGTGTGTTCAAGACATTCTAATATAATGGATGAAGAAATTTAACTGGGCTAATCTAACTGCATAGCAGTTACTGAAGAATCACTCCAACTGTATTTAGCAGAGGGCAGAACGTATCTAATAACAAAGCCTAAATTAATCAGTACGCAAATTACCTAGGGGGTAAAACAATTGTCAATCATAAATATTATAAAACCAACAAGATTTCAAGTTATATCATAAATCCTAACATAAATATCTGAAGATAAAACTTTTCACCGAGTGTCTCAGTGATTACATAAAATCTCATACCAAATCTAAAATTCATAACAAAATTTGAACATTATATCGTGAAGTAATGCCTACGCGCTCTTTTTCAGCTTAGAGATTTCTTGCCTTACAACAGCTGCCCTCTGCAAAAATTTATAATCCAAATATTACCATGAAAATAAACAAGAAACACATTGACCAAAACCAAAAAACAAGACTCGTATTTAACTGCCACTATAGACAACAACAAAATTCTAACGAAAGATAATAAAACTATACCTTGATCTTGGCCAACATTAGCTTGAACCTGTCGAAGTCAGTGAGGGCTGCCCTTCTCTTTTTGACAATGAGTTTCCTGCCCCATGAGCTGTTTTCCCATTTGTTCTTAACATCTGCTCATTATCAAAAATACATAACAAATACTTTCAATTAAAAACTGATAATAATAAACAAAGAAAATAAATAAATATGTGAACATGTAGGACGAACCAGCAGCCTCCATGGCTTTAACAAGATCTTTCTTCTTGGGGACCCTCTTAATGTCAATCTTAATATCGGTTAGGGAAAGCCTCTTGAAATTGACTTGAGTTCTCACCATATCAGGGGCATCGACAAGTGCCTATTATGAAAAAAAAAAACTGATTCTAAGAAAGCAATAAAAAGCGAGAAAAGGTAAAAACTTGGGTGGTGACTTACTCTGTTCTGGTCAATGACGTCGACGATGACGACGAGCCTCCCATATTCCTTGCCGTAGTTGACGAGAGCAACCCTCCCGATCTCAACGTACCTCTTGAAAGGCTGAACATGAAACGCAGAAAACGCAATTTGCTATGGTTAGAAACAGAAAACTATAAAGAAAAAAAGGTAAATGCAGTGCAGAAGAGAGGAAGAGGAATCACCATTTTCGGCTTCAATTGCAGAGAGGCAGAGACGGTGGATAGGTGGGTGGTGGAACACTATCTAGGGTTTTAGGTTTGCAACTTCGTGTAGTTTAATAAAAGAACCTCGGATCCACGTTAAAATGGGCCTCTCAGCCTATTCCTTACCTCGTAAAAGTGGGCCTCAGTGCATATCTCAGGCCCAAACCTCATTTTATCATTTTTAATTTTAATATTTAATTCTCAGCACACATGTGCAGAAATTGGAGATTAAAAATGTAAAGCTCACAAAAAGTTTTTATTACTTGATTGATTATTTATTAACAACCCAAACCAATAGGTTTAATGGATGGAGGGAGGGAATATGCTTATTGGTCCGACGTTAAGACGACTTACTGAGAAAATAAAAAATATATTATATATTTAATATAATTTGATAAATGTGATTTAAATATAAAATGTATATTGTGAGTATTAATATTTAAAATAGAAAAGTTCAAATTCTATACTCTAAAATTTTAAATTTTCCCTAACATAACTTGTATGTGAATTGAAATGAATTGAGTATGAGTGAGTGATTCACTTCGTACATGATATTATTTATTAGACAGCATATCATTAATTGTAACTTAGTCCAAAAATAATAAAGATACTTTGTAGATCATATACTGTTGTATATGATCATATATTATTTTAAATGTAATTTATTATATAACTATATGTTATATATTATGTTTGAATATGTTGTTTAAGAAATATGGTATTAATTCATTTAATCTATCCAAACACCTAACTAATATTTTACAGGAAATAGACTCTTGATTAGTTTTTGTTTCGTCCATATACATACAACAGTGTCGTCCGGTGAAACATAGGAAGATTCGTCAGTCAGATTTATGTACGTACTTACAGGTACATTTTTCTTAAACTTCTCCATAAATAAATAAAAAATTATATGTAAAAAGCTAATATATAAATACTTTCTCATATATTTTTTTTAATTTTTTTTTACGTTTACTTAATATACAAACTGGTTATACTTTATAAAAAATAATTTTCCTTTTATTTGTGTTTTTTTCTTATAAAAAACATTATACAAAAATTTATTTAAAATAAATTGGATGTGAAATATTTCAGCACTTCTTCCAGAAAGAAACACATCTAAACTCAACATCCTCAAACATAACCGACAAAAACAAAAACTGAAAAATTGATTCAAATTATTATTCCTTTTTAAAAATTATTAATTAAACTTCCATTGAGTTAGATATTTTATTTAAGTTTATTGATATTTAAGTTAGATATTAAAACTGTTTAAAAATTTTGTGGTATTAAATTTTTTTTACCAGTTTTCTTATTTTAATTTAAGGATAGAAAATCCACCTCACAGCTGAAATCCTAAAGTTTTTTCTTACAATTGCCCTCTTCCCAAATCCATCAAAACCAAATAAAAATAATAATAAAAACTTAACTACAAGTTTCCGTGATACGCTTGCAGTTGTTGTTCTCAGTCTGCGATCAACAAGGTCTTCCTCGTTCAACGTATGTCTATCTCGATTGTATTTGTTATTTCTTTTTTATCGATCGGTCTCTGTGTCTTCCTGAGAAATTTGACATTGAAGTTTTCAGATTTTCGATAAATTAGATCTTGGGGGCTGCTTCTGCACTCAATTCAATTGATGGGTTGTTCCTGTTTTTCAATTTTCTGTTGATTCGAGATGTGACGTTCTTATTTCATCATACATTGGTTCAGTAAAAGTTTAATTATTTGATCTCGCCTCAGAGCTTTCCTCATCTATCCATCATATCGTCTTCCACATGCATTTGGTGATTAGCAAAAATGTTGTTCAATCTTGTTAAAGGAAACAAATCTGATAATCATATTCAAGTTATATGTGCTTAGCTGTAAACATTATGAAAGATAGGAACTATTTCCTCAAGTTATTTTCTTAACTTATAAGTTTTTGATTCATTAAAAGTGCAGTTCCCATTAAATTAGTTTATTTTGCATCCCTTCATCAGTGTGAATTGTGATTTTTGATACTTTTGACATTATTCTCCTTAATTGAATCCAGACTTTACTGTAGCTTGCTTGCCTGGTACTGATGAAAGTTCTATTTTTTCTTCCCTTCATTTCACATTCTAAACTTTATCAGATAGAGAGAAAAAAAAAGAAAGGGAGCATATTTATGTACTTTACCAGTGTTGGCAAAAATGCCTATTTGATCTCTGTTAAATTATACTTCTCTATTTATTGGCTCTTGGCTATTTTATATGTAGTAAACAACGAGATGGAGGGGTCTGTTTTCACTCCTGCATTGGAAGGAATTAAGCTTGTAAAATCGGAGCAAGGAGAAATTCTGACTCAACCTTTTTTGGATGCTTGCAAGCATATACTTCCTGTTATTGGTACGTGCTCTTATTTCCCTTGAAATGTTATCGTCGCAAGACAAAGGTAAAGAAGATAAATATGTTAAGTGGACATTTTCCTAGTGTGTTTTCCTTTTGTATACTGTACTTTGTTGAAAGAGAGGAACAAAGGTGGTCCTTTACTCCTATTGAATATTCTACAATATGTTAAACAACGTGAAGAGAACATTGCATTTGACAGATATTGATGGATTGTTTTCCGTTTGTAAAAGGCAAGATGCATGTAAGTGATTTTTCCGTAATGGATTCAGTTCTCCTAGCCTCTGGCTTTTCTCCATTTCACTTACAACTTATCCAAACCTATGTTTTTATTTAAAAATTGGGAGAAAAAAGATAGTTGATCTCGTATTTCGTATCAAATTTGGTATCTGTATTAGATCAAACTCTTATCACTGTATGCTTTTGACATGCTTTCTTGGTTATTCAAGTGTCTGTAATTATGTATCCTTGTTATTTATATGGAAGGCTTTCATTAAAAGGAAAGAGTAAAAAACAAGAGAATCATGAACCCTTAAGGGTAAGAAACTTACATATGTTAATATGTAGAATTAGGGTGTTACAATCTAATTCTAAAAACATAAATTTTATAGCAAAATACATTGTTAACGTTTTGTTCTCGTTTGCTGCTTTGTTGAGCCTCAAATTGTTAACTTGTATTGGGATTATATCTACTGATTTTTTTCTTATGGCAGATAAGTTTGGAGCTTCTATGGCCCTTGTTAAATCTGACATTGGTGGCAACATATCGGTTGGTTTCTGACACCTGTTTCTATCTTATATAACTTTTTTTTGTATACATGAATTATCGCATGCATTTATATGTAATACTAATATTTTGTTGTCTTACAATTACATGGTTTTGCCTTAAGTATAACGTGGGTGTTGATTCATTTTTCTTCTTCATGTGCTGCTACTGGCTTTCATATACATGCTTATGCTTTACTTTTATACAACTCTTTTTGGCTTTTGTTATGTATTACCTACCCAAACCTTTAATATTGTTCAAAACCATAAATGCAATATGTTCTCACTCTATACCATGTTTCATTTCAAAGCAGAGATTGGAAACTAAGTATGCCTCAAATCCGACCCGATTCAATTACCTGTACACTTTGGTACAAGTTGAGATTGAAACTAATACGACTAAGTCATCATCCAGTTGTACCAATGGACTTCTGTGGCTCACAAGGTAAAGAACACCAAGCACCTACCATTTAACTTGTAATTCATACTAGTATGGAATTCTCAAATCTTTTATTTTACATAAGTATTTCTTTAATTTGTAATGTTTCAACTTTCAAACACAAAGCCTTCTGTCCATGAGTAAACAACTAACCAATACAAAAGTGATTAGGATTAAAAAGGTATGGAGATATGGATGAAATTTTGAATTCATAAATCATGATTTTAGGAATACATTTCTTAAAATAGAGTCAGTGTTAGAACATGTACTTCTCAAATTTTGAGATCAAAATGCAACATGAATAATTAATAGAGATACTATGAAGAGCACCAATGTGTCCATTTGTGAACGAACGACTATTGTACTGGGATGTTTATCAACACAAATTTTCCATGATATCCTCCAATGAGTCTAATTGTGGATCAACAATTTGACCCTGGCCTATTTTTCTAAAATAAAAAGCTTGAATTTACTTTGTCTGTTTTGGTTGAGTCACTTTCTCAAGGTGATGTGGAATTTGGAAGATTCACATTGCTTTTATAATCTTTTAGCTCAATGTTGGTTCTTTTCACTGGCTTCAATTATAGAGCCTTTTATTTAATTTGCTGAGCTTACTAAGAAAGAAAGCACAAAGGTTCTTCCAGGGACTTCTTTCCTTCAACACCTTACCACTTAATTCTTGGCTGACCTCAATGTTCTTAACATTACATCTACCCCCATCCAATAAGAGAATGCCATTTTCGTTCTCACCTCTCTACCGTTATGTTACAGACAATTACATGGGTGTCAGTCAGTTCTGCTTAACTCCCTCCCCCTGCCCATTTTGTCATCCCGTTAGCTCTTCTAATATAAACCTTAATAGGAGGATTTTTCCCAACACTTATATTAGTTTACTAATTTTTATTTTGTAGCCACAGACCACAAGAAATGGTTATTAGTTACATTGAATTGTCATGTTTTAGTTTTCATTCATTTATTTCTCTGACCTGCAAAATTTTCAGAGCAATGGATTTCTTGGTGGCCTTGTTCCAAAACTTAGTTGAGCATGCAGATTGGTCAATGGCACAAGCCTGCACAGATTCATATAACAAAACTCTAAAGAAGTGGCATGGCTGGCTTGCTAGTTCAAGCTTCTCTGTAATGTTCTTTTGCTGCTGTTTTATTTCTCCCTTATAATCTTGAATTTTCTTCACTGAAACCAAACCATTTTATTGAAAAATCTTGCTTCATATTGATCCAAGTTTGTAAAATGTCATATTCTAGATCATAAAATAGTTGTCATAGGAAGTGCAATAAGTTTTCTATTTGGGCCGTTGTTTAATCCATTTGGTAAAATCTTTCCTCCTAATCCCATGAATATTTCATACTCTAATGCAGTGAGAAATCCATGCATCCATTCGAGTTAGTTACTTTAATTATCAAATTTCAGTAATTTAGAAATGTATCACATTAAGGTACAGGTTGGATGAAATGATCGCCTGGAAGCAATCGAATTTTTTGATAATAAATATACTAGAATCCCTATATTGTAGTACTGCATAGTAAGTTTTATTTTAGCTAAACTAAAGCAATTTAAAGTCTATTCAGTCATGTGTATCCACCCTTCGTAATAAATTAGACTATTACAGTCCACGATCTTGAAAGTAAGATAATCCCTTGTTGTATTGATTTTAAATCTTTCTCTCTCTATATATATCTCTCTCTATATATATATAGAGAGAGAGAGGGAGGGAGGGATGGAGAGAGAGGGATATAGATAAACTAATTACATATTTCCTTTATAATTTGAGTTGTTTTACTCATTGATATATTTATTTTTAAATTAAAAAAAATACCCTTACAATGCATAAAATACTTACTAGTTCAACTAACATTGTAATTGTCTTTAGTCCTTTTTTTGGTTTTCTATTTTCGGTGGGGAAGTAATTTGTCTTGAACATGCTTTTAATACACAGTAAATGTTTCATTTGCAGGTAGCAATGAAACTTGCTCCTGATAGAAAGAAATTCATGGATGTGATACAAGGCACTGGTGGTGATATCAGTGCTGATATACAGAAATTTTGTGCCGACTTTTCTCCTCTCCTTGAAGAGAATCACAAGTTCCTGGTAAATGTCTCTCGGATTTTTTTAGCTATTTTATGGATCATCATTTTTACTAGCATGCTTGAATATGCTGTTCTGGATTAAGTTGATGATATTTATTTAAAAAAATATTACAAAGTATGTAGGAACTAAAAGCTTTACTCTTTTGACGCAGAGTCGTTGTGGTTTGGATGATATGAAGGCGTCATGAAGTGATGGACTCATGATCCGAAGAAGTCTCTTGATGAATGACTCTTGCATTCTCACTCCCTAATATTTATGCCATACAACATGACTTTAATCATGGACTCAGTTTCATTGTTTTTGTTTGCTGGGATTGAATATTTGAGTAAGCACAATATGGCTGGATTAAAAATAACTTGTTGAACTATAGTTTCGCATCTGATTAATTTATAATTATTAAAACACATTATTAGTTATATAGGTTTATTTATACTTCATTTTTATGTTTAGTTGGAATATTGTGAGGTTTACGTTGTTTTAGTTTTTTAAACAACTGGTTGTATTTTGTCCTTTTCAAATTAAGCAAATTCGGTTTGTTTTGTCATTTTTCACTTAACATGTTTAAATTTATCTTTTTATTGTTCAAAATGATCATAATTTAAATTCGTTAAAATGGGTTAAAAGTATCACTTAGTAAATACAACATTATGTATCTTCCAAAATAAAATAAAAAATATTTCAATCTTTTTTTATTGAAATTTAATTAAAATTCTGACCTCTGATTTTTATTTTATTTTTTGTATTTCAATTTCTTTGTAAACCATATATAGTCCAAAGTAAATTATTGTTTGGCAGTGGAGAAGAAAGTGGTAAAAAAATTATGGACTTATTTTATTGTTTGGATTAAGAGGAAAAAATAAATAAGTATTGAGCTTTCTTTCCATTTTTTTAGTTGATTATAAAGTCATGAAAGAAAAAATAATACAAATTTGTAATGGGAAATATGCAAAAAGAAAAAGAAAAAAATGTGTTTACGTTCTGTTGTCCTATTTCATTATGCTATCAAACAAGGAGAAGCTTTGATAGTTGTGTTTATCGTTTTTTCTTCTTTCCCAATTGTATTGTCACATAGACCAAAACAAGTAAAAAATGCCGATGAGTGTTATGCTTGTGTCTACAATTTTATCTCATTTGATAAGTTCTTCTATAGAGTTCAAGGGTTCATTTGACTGTAATTGATAATTAACTCGTAAATCCGAAATAGACTCCACGCCTTGCTATTCAGGTTTTGGGAACCTCTCACTCTTTCGCTTTTGAACTTGTTTCATATGGACACCTTTTTAGCTCATGAATAATACCTATTTATATTATTTTTAGTGGATTTTTACCTAAACCTATATTAGTTAGTCCAACATTTTTAATCATCTAATTAATATTTGATGTTAGTTAATTTTGGATGGTATCGGTCTACATGACTGGAATTGTCTTGACCCCAAGTGTAGATGAAATTGATAGTCAAAATTAATTTAAACAGACATTTTATTATATTCACGGATTTAAAAATGAATTTCATTAAAATCAATACCTATTATATCTATGGATGAAGGACAAAGTAGTAAAAAAAAACGTAAATTTTATTCAATTAATGAAATAAAGTTAAATAACATAAAATCGATTAAAAATATTTAAATTAAAAAGACTTAAATATAATTTTAACTTTTTAAAACTACATATTTTTATTTCAATAAAAAATTATATCTTATTATATAAAAGTTCATAGGGAACATGATAAATACCACTATCCACCGTCTCTTTGATGTCGTCCCGTTAATGACGTAAAATCTTGAATGGGATGTGAAATAGTTCATAAAAAATTATTTAGGTTTAAAAGAATCAATTATAACTTTTTCAGTTTATTTTAACAAGCATTTCTACCCCTTTTAGTAAAGCCTAAAAAATACTTTAATATTGAAATTTTGATTTTTAAGTTTACAGACAAGCATGTTTTAACTTTTTGAAGTAGAGAGTTGTTAATTTTTAGGAATTTAAATAAAAATGAAAAGAAAAAATAGGATTAAAGCTCATAAATATTTTTAATGATTTCGAGTTTGCTTCATGGAAATAAAATGTTTTTTTTATTATTAAATGAAAAGAATCTCAACCTAGACAGGCTATACCCTTAGTAGCTTATCAAAACAAACTCCTCTAAACGTATTCTTATTATTAAAATCATAATCAACTTTGCTGCATGAAATAAATTCTATTAGATGAGTTATGTAATCAAATGCGCACCCATCCATTCCACCATGTTTTAAAAAAAGTTGGGAGATCTGAAATAAAACACAAATTAATGATAAATGAAACCAAAAGGATCATATTTACTATAATTGGAAAAAAATGGCTGTCGGAAACTCCCAACGATTCTGCTTTGTTCGTTTTTTTAGCAGGGGGAAAGAAAAGAAAGCCAAAGAGAACAGAAATGAAAAACAACCCCCAATGTTCTCTGAATCTTAGTTAATAGTTTTGTATTTATTTTTATTAAGGTTCACCAAAGTGACAAACGCCATACGATTATGGTTTTGAATCCGTCATTGTCGCAGTTGAACTAAAAACAGGTATTATAGATTTATGCCAAATTTAGGACATGGAGATGAAAATTACAACGTAACATGTCTGGCCTTGCACCAAAAAATATGTTGAGCTACTGGTTTTGATTTGCCTAACCACCATCAGGGGGGGCGGTAGATCAAAATCAAGTGCCACCATTCTACAGTTGAGTTTTCCAACCTGAAGTCTTTCTCTTCTTCGGTTGGATGCTCGATAACATCCAATCAAGAACAGGAAAACCTTCCAAAACATTTTTTTCTATGTCTTGAACATTCATTCGTTCTTCATTGCCAAACTCAGAGAAGGCATCATACGAACGATTGATTCTAGCAAACATTTTACCGGGAGGTGATCAGGTACCTTTTTCTAACGAAATAGATCGATGGTAAAAAACGAAGATTTATGGTTTGGTCTTTGGTTTCAGAGATTTGTAGCTGGTTCCATTGAGAAGCGGGAGAACTATAATACATTTTGAGGTTAAACTTTTGAGGTGCAAAGATAGATCTAAAGGCTCCAATAATGTCGTCGGGCGCGGTGAAAGGCCAGGTGAAAGGCCAGGTGAAAGGCCTCCTCAAAGGACTCAGATACATATCCCAAATATTTGGTAACCACATTCTTCTCTCCTATCAAATATGAATGCTTAAGTTTATCGATAACTTCCCCAAATTGTTCTGTTCAAAAGATAATATAAGGTCCTAGATTCGATTTTCCTTATCATTGTTAAACACACGAAGAATAAAATTGATTGCAGATGAAGAGGATGAAAAGCAGCAGATAGAGATTGGGTTTCCAACAGACGTAAAGCATCTGGCACACATTGGAGCGGAAAACGCTAAAGCAAGCCAACCAAGCTGGGTACATTCTCCTTTCTCTGCTTCAATTCCGCAAAATAATCAATCTCCTATGAAAAATTGGATTAACTAACGTGAAATTGTGCAGCTAACTGAGTTCAAAGAATCATCAGAAGGTTCGTCTGGAACAGTGGTGAACCCCGTCAAGGCCACACCTGAAGGTTGGATCGTTAATAATTTCATATTATGTAGTATTGGAATGGCCAAGTAGTAAATTGAGATATATTATTGATCAGTAACTGATGATACGATGGTAATGGTGGATAATGCAGGTAGTAATAGTGATGCTACTAGCAAAGGTAATAATAATAGTGATGCTACAAGCAAAGGTAATAATAGTGATGCTACTAGCAAAGCTAATAACAGTGATGCTACTAGCAAAGGTGAAGGGAAGCGAGGCCGAAAGTCAAGGCCTCGCTCTTCTGAGAACCAATCCACGATGAGTTCTCCCAGCCGAGAGAGCTCGACGGAGGGATCCAAGCCGAGCCGCCGAAACCAGGAATCGTCTAAAAAGGCGAACCGTCAATCATCGGAAGATGAGAAGCCCCCGACAGCGTCGAAACCCCGCAGGAAGTCGAAGACGTCGTCGGAGGACAAGGATGGTGGGTCCGTTCGGAGGTCGTCGGAGGACAAAGAAGGTTCGTCAAGGAGGGCGCCACGAGGACGAAGACATTCGAAGGGGGGTTCCTTAACTGAATTCTCCTTCTCAGAATCTGGACCTCAATAGAAAGACAGAGTGAAACGGTGGACCAGCAGCAGATTCAGTTTAGAGAGAGATTTCAGGGGCCAGAAATTAATCATCATCCGATATCAAGTACCACATACGCATACATAAGTATATAACCAATCCTGCTTGGTGTTCTGACCAATGTCAACTTTTTATCTTCATTTTGTTCAGTTCCTCCTTTTTTTTGTAATAGTGTCACTGGCTATTTGGATCCTCTGGATTCAATTGTTACCAAAACATGTAACAATTTTTTAAATTGGTATAAAGTGAACCTTATCTACTAAAGTATTTTGTGCAGAATTAGCTTCTCTGTGCATCTGCATGGATCGGGGTAGGAATAATAGGAATTGATTTAGAATGCGATCAAATTCGATTGATTTTGAACCTAAAAAACATTGGAAGATCATATAAATGCTTATAAACTGACTTTACAAATCAAATAATAAATAACACAAAGAATGGGAGACATATATATACTACTTATAGAACAAAGTTGTACACAGCTACAGACCGATGAAAACCGCAAAAAGACAGAAGTAATACTAAGGTTAGATAATGTAGTCACGTTTCCAGGAGGAAACATCATATGTTGTACAAACACAATCGGAAGCTAATTTCCCAGAACATTTTGTGGCTCGAAGTTCTCCTTGTTAGAGATCTTGAAAACGGAATCCTTGTCAGTTGTCTTGGCAGGAGAAAACTCGAAATTTTCACCGGTTCTCTTTTTTGTGGGAAGTGGAGTTCCAATGTGCTGGGACAGCTCTCTTTGGTTGCCACAAAGAGTGAATATGTTTTGAATTCTCAGTAGTCTAGAGGGTCCAAGATCCTTGTCATCCACATTGATACAACAATCGTCTTTCTTTGGACTTGTGTTCGACAGATTTAATATTGCCAAGGAGCCTTCAGCACTTGGCTTTTCAACACTACATACCTTGGTTTCTTCTATCACTTCTTTCTCTACTTCCTCATCACCCCCTTTGTCTTCATCTCCTTCTCCCTCTTCCTCATATACTGTACTAAGGCATACCCTCTGGCCAAAGTTGGGTGCAAAGATATGAGCATCATCTTTTCCACCATTC